AATTACAAAGAGGGGAAGGTTCAAACTTGTGGTTATGAAAGTTGCAAGAAAACATTTCAACAATTGAACTGTCCACATTGTTCTGGTTCTCTGGTATGGAAGGAAGCGAATTACAAAGAGGGGAAGGTTCAAACTTGTGGTTATGAAAGTTGCAAGAAAACGTTTCAACAATTGAACTGTCCACATTGTTCTGGTTCTCTGGTATGGAAGGAAGCTAATTACAAACAGGGGCAGGTTCAAACTTGTGGTTATGAAAGTTGCAAGAAAACATTTGGAACATCCCAACCCAAAGAGAAGTAATTTGTACAACGAAAAGCCATTTATAATTGTGTTTATGTGAATTGGTTCTCTAGTTTTTCAACTATGTCATACTTTCATGAGGAATCGAAAGTGGTTTAAAGTAAAAGTTTCTTTATTTTTTCGATACTAACTATCAACTACCCTCACCCTCATCCTCGCTCTTCCCCTATCTTCTCTCTTCCACTTCTTTCTACTCTTACCTGATGTGCAAGCTTGTTGTTGATTTTGTGACGAGAAAATTCCTACCAGTATGCTGTAAAATAAATGATCAATATTGTGTAAAATAATGGATATACTACACTGAGAAAAACTCAGTCATGAGCAAAAAAGAGCAGAGAGAACACATGAATCAAGCAAAATGATCGGGTACTCCGCAAGAACTTCACGAATAATTTTGCTGATATACGTACTTGCAAAGGTACCTGCTGGGTAAACACACTGACAAGAGTTGCACAGCAAATACCTCTATGAGAGAAGTTAGTGAGAATTTTTTAATTACCACAACGGATACTCTGGTGAAACTATCCTGGTAAATGGGTACCCTTAACTCACTACTTGTATCAGGGTAATGTATATAATACAATATGTACATAGCGTTTAATCTAATATAAAAATAAAAAGCAAAAATCTCCAGAGGTCTAAAAATATTTCTAAATTCAAAACAATGCTCACACCTCCGTTCGATCGGCGTTCGCAGCTAGTACAGCTGAGACACACTGTGAACTTCCGATTCCACGGAAAAACCGTCACTGTAATATAAAGCTAATTAGCTAACAATGCTAACACCTCCCTTCGTCGGTGTTTGCTAGTGGATCATCTACAAAATGTTACGAATATCTCTCTGATTTGATGTGTACGCTTCCTAATCTAATATAAATCTAAAAAATATTCTCGAGACCCTCCAAAGGTTGCCAGAGTTCTAAAACTACTTCTGAATACCAGAGAATGCTCACGCCTCCCTTCGGTCGGCATTCGCAGTAAATATTATTTGAGCGATCTCTTTGAATATTTTCTCTTGTGTAAAAAATAATTTTCTACTTTTCTCTCTTCAGATTAGCTTATCCACGGAATATCTGACAGCTATTTTTCGGTATTTTGCGCATACACAAACACTGACAAACATTTTGTAAGATCCTAGACTAAAGTCAAGGGAAAAATCAGAGTAAAAGTCACGAAAACAGTAATCGATATTTGTGACTTTGCTGATCGAGAAAAGAGAGTGAAAACGAAGCGAGCCAAAATATCTTTCATGCCATTTTATAGAACTGGAAGAGTACCATAAATGAGAGAAAAAGAAAAAAAATCGACTAAATTCTGCTTGTCTCGGAGGCCTGAAAGGTGGCTATTCTTATAAAAGGGTCTTGAAAGATGAGCTTCGTACTTACAGAGAAAGACAGATATCGACCTTATTCCTTTTCCATTGGATTAAGCAGCCCTTTAGCTTCATTTTCTCATTCATTAGTATATAGTGCAAGAAATTTTTCTTTTGTTTTGCGTTCAGCACAGCTGAAATACTCGGTGCGCTTTTTTCATTTCCGGCTATTTTGTGACAATTGGCCTGCACTTTTAAATGTGGTAGGCTACGTTTTGAGTAACGGCACTTATACTACTCAATCTGCTCCTTCGTATGGTATATTAAACGTCGACGTTAACTCTATGGATGTAGAGAAAAACAAGGTCAAAGGTGCTTCATAGTAAAACAGGTCGACATGTGACATCCCTAAGAGACAGTGCACGAGTGGGACAGGTTTTTAGCGTACTACTTGTTCAATTGATGTTTGAGTTTTGGGCTCAGGACTTTACCGTAGCTAGAGGCAACATATATAGGAAGATTTCCAAAATTTTTTCGTTCGGACTACTTCGTTAAAAAGTTATAGAGCTTTTCGTAAAAGCCCTAAAAAGAGCCTAAAACGATAATTGTATAAAAGTCAAATTTGGGATGTTTATATCTTGGTATAGGAAGGCCCACTTCATCGAACTAGCTCAATTCGATCTAGCTCCAATCGAGCAATTAACCGACAGCTTGAGCTAGTTCCAGACATCAAACACATCGAATAGAGCTAGCTCGATCGGTCTGTTAAGTGGGCGGTTAATTCAGGCGTTAATCTTTCCAACAGCCTTAAAGTAGGTTGAACCACCAGATCCTAGGTTAAACCTTCTGAGGTGGAGCTAGCTTAACCGGATCGACAACCGCGTTGCCTAGCTCCAACCGCCTAATTCTAGCTCCATTTTTTTTGCTTTGGAGACAGGAGCATCTCATACAATATTTTTGCACTAACACGAATTGAAGTATTGATAGTTACTGAAGATGCGTCTTTCTTTTCTAAACGAGTTGTTATTTATGTCAAATAAATAAATTAAAAATTGTGATAAAAGTTATGTCACACATTTTTGCACATATGTTTTTATTTATTTTCTTTAAATTAATAAATTTGATGATCTATTAAAATTATTATACAAGTAGATAGCCCGCGATCCTCTCTAACAAATACCCCAGTACGGTCTTAAAGTAACAAAAAACTGTTACGGACGAAGTTATTAAATGAACAGCCCATTACCTTGAATTTGACGGCAAAGTAGGAAATACTAGATGCAGCTCTTACTGAGGCAGTGCTTCCGATCACAAAATAATCTCACAGCACTTGATTCTATTCTGTATTTATAGCGGCATTTAGTGTAATGAAAGTTAAGCAGGAACCGTTGAAAACACGAATATTTTCGTCACACTCGAGGGAACTTTCGTCATCAAAGGGTGAATTTTCGTTACAGCCACAAAAAGCACTCCGAAATTCACGCGAACTTACGTCACCATGCTTTTTTCTGAAAAACGCGAAAGTACCCGTCAAAATACGTCAGCAAAATCTTCTAAATTCCTCTCAAACACGTTCTATCAAAACAATTTGGCCATTGTCGAAACAGAAAGTCTACGAGGGAGCATGGAAGGCAAAAATATTAAATCAATTGGTCAAAAGAATAACTTTGAGGGCAAAAGAACTGTATCCAGATGTAGTTAAACGTATGATTTTGAGCATTCGGGAAAAAAACGTTTGAAAATCTATAGACAGGAAGTTTATGGTGTTGGTCAACATGTTTTTACAAACTGTTTTTCATATTCTTTTCAATATAAAATAAATCAGAAAAGTCGGATGAATTCTTACTCCGCAGTACGATCAGACATTTGTACGGATTTTTACACGGTAGATTAGTATTTAGTGAATTCAAATGTAAGGAAACATCTTCAGCTATTCTATCATTGGTGATAATGAATGTTTTTCTGCTCTTTTAAGTTAGTCAGAAATCTGTGTGAATGAAATACAAGATGCAAGAAGTTCCAGTTTATTATATTTTGTCTCAAGATTTGAAATGATTAAAAAAGAAACAGTTTAGCTGTTCGACGCCTATAGTCACACAGGTGATCGAAGGTGTTCTCCCACGTCGAAGTAATGTTGATCATATTTTGATTCCCACATATCTGTGCCACTTTGGAACGGCGTATGATTAGGCAGTCGCCCTTTATCCGAAAATAATTGGAAAAAAAGACTTGACCCGTGCTCATGTATCTTGACTATATAGTTGGCACTTTCATTTGGATCATCACTGTAAGTAATGCTTCGCAGATAAAATGTCATTAGTGAAGCATATATGACCTCTTCTCCTTCGGGACATTGCGAGACAGTAGATATATCAGCATTTGTTTGTTGGCGGCATTCCTCTTGTTCTTGTTTAGTCATTGTTTGAATTTCGAACGGAGCATTTCCGCCCATCATGGCACGTACGAGATTTTTCGATGTTGAAGTAAAACAAACAAAATAGATCCGTTGATCGACAAGAGAAATAAGCGTAGCAATATTTTCTTCGGACATCTGAATTCCACGATAGGGTATACCAGCAAAATAAGGCAGATATTTAGCGTAGAACATCTCGAAATAATCATAATGAATAAATGTAAAATAATATAACTAGAATGAGGGAACATCAATCTGACATCAAAAGACAAACTGAGTTCTCAAATGTAGCTAAGCATACTAATAAAAAAAAACATACATTTGATTTTACACAATGTGAGACTCTAGCTCTTGAAACAAACTGGCGAAGAAGAATTATCAAAGAACGTCTATTTACATACCAAACGAAAGGAAAAGCCTTAAATGACGTAAAATTTAAATTAAACATCTTTGTATAAAACTATTACAAACCTATCAATTAGGATTATTAGCTCTTTTCTATGTTTTTCTTTTTCTTCTTTTGATGTATTATCAATTAGTGATCGCATTATTAGCTTTTTCTTGTTCTGTCTCTATTGATGCTCTATTAGCACTCAGACTATATATAGAGAGATTTTATTTCACTTTTCTGTTTTTCCTGCTGATGATAAATGTCTCTGATCGAAAGCTTGAATAAATCATAAATTGATTTTTGTTAAAAATCTATTATGATTTTCGTAGCAGTTTTATACTCAATAATTTCTAGATGTACTTGGTGATATTGGTAAAAGCTTCAAGACTACCGGTAGTAAGCGAATTTAGCTCTTTTGTGTTCTTGTTAACTGATCATTTTTTCTTGTTGTTAGCTTGTCCATATCTTCATCTTTATTTCAGCCATGATAAACATTCCTATGCTACATATGATATTGATCAAATACGAGAACAATAAAAGATTAATACTTGGTTGCTGTTGTTTTTATCTGATAATAAGATTCCAATGCTTTTTGCAAACACTTGATCATACACTTCTGATTCTTTACCATTGCCTTGCAATACTTGTATTTGATGCGTTTCCAATCATTATGTGATTTCGATGTGATCGACACTATGTGAAATTCTCATCTGGAAGTGTGATGAAAGATATTCGATTCAAATTCTACTTTGCAGCGTGCATTTGCAAAAATTTCTCTCACTACTCTCGAGCAAAACTAGACACAAAATTTCTAAGTCCATATTCCGAAAGTGCACAAAATCCCGAGTCTTACTAACTCTTTTTGACTAAATTTTCTAATGCTAAATCTTGCCAACGGCCCCTAAATTGAGTGTCGACTTTTCTTAGCGAAGCCTTACACTGTTCACACGTACCATCGGTGTAATGTTTTCGACCATCTAAGCAAACTGAAATATTCATTTGGCTACCACACTTTTTACATTTTGCAGTTTGATACAATTCAAACTGAAGAGGATAACTTTGTTTTAAGTGATCACGAACAATATGCTCATCCAAATCACTGTGAAGTATAGCACTAACAGTACAATATTTTCTAACAAAGCAGCAACCACTCCCGTAACTCCGTTGATTGAGATCAACATTTAAAATATCTAAGTTTTTGCAGGTTCGCAGTTTCTGATAAGTTTTCGGTGCTTGAGCTTCTGACTCATAATACTTAACAGATAATGCATTAAGCAGTTCGTCTTTCCCTTGAAGTTGCAGTTGTTTTATAATGAATAAACGTCTTGTATCAAGTGAATATAGTTTACCATTGTATTGTAAGATTTGTATTTGATCGAAACAACTTGTGTCGAGTAGTTTATGTTTAAATGCAAAGTATGTTTCAGGCACCGTCATCTTTGCATTACCACCAAATATCGGTTGCATATCTGATTGTGAATAGTAAATTGGCTGCTGTGGTAATTCGGTCAATGGAATCACAGTAAATTCACTTCAGTGTAAGAAAAATGTATGTGTAAAAACAGTGTGACATAAATTTTATCAAGTTTAAAAACTGTTTTATTTGACATAGATGACAACTCGTTTACAATGAAAAGTGACATCTAAAGACGCCGTTAACTATCATAATCAATAACTCTTGAAGTATTCTTTGAAATGTATATAATGACTGATAATTTATTCATTGCCATTGACTGCACCTGTATTAATATCATCATCTTCGTCGTCATCTTCTTCTTTTTCATCGGCTTGTTTATATCCATCTGCATTCTTAATATCATCTATGGTCCCTTTTAACAATAGATCATCAATAAGCATATTGCAATATTTATGAGTATGTGAAATCATTTTTCTGACCATGTCCGCAGACACACCTTCATGTCCAACACCATCGCCATTGAATCCTTTTTTTGTTTGTTCAATTAATTGTTGAAGAGTTCTGGACGATGAAAATTGTTTAGCTATATAACCTTTTACGTAGGCCCACACCAATTCGATAGGTTGAACTTGAGGACAATACGGTGGAGTGAATATAAGATGATGATAATCCAGAGGACTTTAGTAGCTTAAGATTTTTGTTCG